AACTATGCAAGTATTTGCACCCACTAATTGCTGCGATTGTCGTGGATGTCTATTGTCTATGTTCAGTGTGTCAGTATAGGGTTGACTTTTTTAAAATAGAATTTATCCAAGGTGGATTTTTTATTTTTTTTAAAGGAGGGGTGGAAACATTTCTAGTGGGGTGCAAGCAGCACCACTGAGTGAGCTTTTTACAGGGGTTAGGCATTAGGGTTAAAGAATTTTGAAGCAAAATTTTGGTGGGGTTAAACACTTTATAAGAGGGGTTAGAGAGATTCTAAGGGGGGGGGGTTAACCCCTCCTAACTCCCCCCCTCCAGTAAATCCGCCCATGATTTAATCCAAAAATTTTCATAATGGAACCTGGTGAGTGGAGACTCAAGTGGCAGGAAAAGGCATGAGTGTATGTTGACAGATGTTTTTTATATAATAAATAGCAACTGGCTATGTTTAGCAAGTTATTAGTGCATTTATTTCAATTGGCTAACTTTTTTTTGTTTTTCCCAGCATTTTTAAACAAACCATATGTTATAAATGATAACACTCATACAAATAAGACTAAGTACATAAATAACTGTAAAAATGTACTTTAGTAAATGAATAATTCATCCATACACTTGACCTACTTTGTGAGTATTTTTTCGATTAAAATTGATGCAACAATAAAACAAGAAGATGTCTATTTATATATTTATTAAATTGCTCCGAGATCCCAACAATAACATGCCACTTAGGGAGTGGTCATTATTGATGGGGAGGGGGTTGGTAAATGGGGGGAGAAAACAAAGTTTTACCCTTATAAATAGAGGGGGGGGGTTCAAAAAAGTTTTTGAACTTAAATACCATGTCTAGAGTTCTGATTTCTATAATCACAAATAGCAAAAAAGAAGACTCTGAAAATGCCCTTTCCAATGATCTAGAGACTCAAAATTTTCAAAATTTCCCTGCTCGGCGCCAGCCATGGTAGCGCCTCGTGGGAGTGGTTCCCGCTAAGTTTAACAAGCTTCCTACCCCCTGAGTGACCCAGTTGTGGTATTCACATAAACATACCATGCAAGTGCACTTAACTGATCAGATTCGGAGTATCAAAGCACAATGTAACACTGTATATCCAAAAATATATATTTTTAATCATGTATGTTTGAATCATATTCACCAGGGTAAAACATCATGAGCTAGATTTAAACAGATTGTCCTAAATATCTAACTTTACCTGCAATGCACGCCTGTTTCATTGCTGTTAATTTTTCAATCCACACTGGGGGGGGGGTCAGAAAAGTTTCTACTTTAATGAGGGGGGAGGTACAAAAACGTTTGCCTTCAATCTGGAGGGGGGTCAATTTCCCCATTTACCAACCCCGCAGTTCGATTTGCCACAAAACCCCCTGGATCAGGCGATCAGCTCGTCTTGAAATACGTATACGATCCAGTCGCGTCGGCCAAAGACAACAAAACTTTGAAAATCGCACAGATATAAATTCTACAAAAATATAAAAACAACTCCTAAGTCTTCTAAATACTATTTTAGCACTTTAACAAAAATTCATTGAAAATATCATCTTTGATGGCGGAAATTCTTTCCACGGTATTAGACGCCATTTTAACGAACGTCGAGTTGACAGTAGTCACTTCAACGGTCAATATCTCGAAAACTGCCCGGGGATCACCGGGATCATTCCAACAGATTTAAAGCTTATAGTTTTGTCTTGACTGCTACCAAAAAGGAAGAATAGGGAATTCTATCTAGATATTTCATTTTAAACATTGTAAACATATTTAGACTTGAGTCAACACGTCGCGGGGAGTCGACTAACTTCAAACATCAAAATAACATTGAAAATAAAGTTTGCAGATATCACCAGATCTTTAGTAGTAGTACTACAACACTTGAGATTTTGCAAGAAAATTTTAATATTAATATTTTTTCCGATATATTTTCCGTCGAATGCAAATTTTTCTGTCCAAATTCTGCAGATGACACGATGGAAAATAGAGCGATCTCATTGGTCGAGAGCTTACGTGACAACTCGCTAATTAGCTGTCCAACCTCCTCTGCATGTTGATGAACTTCGACTAATGTTATCCGATTCTGAAATTGACGTTTTTGCTATAAACGAATCTAAAATTGATAATTCAGTAAAAGATAGTGAAATAAGTATCCCAGGATATAATATGATTCGAAAAGATCGCAATAGATTCTGAGGGTGGAGTAGTTGTTTATATTCGAGAGATATATTCCTTCTATGAGCGGAAGGATTTAAATTCAGATGATCTTGAAATGATTTGTATTGTACTTGAATAAATGCGTAGCAAAGTCTGAAACCATTTAACTTTCAATTAATGCATTTATTCAAGTAAACTTTCTGGTAAACTTTACTTATGACCGAGTTAACTCGAGTCATTTACGGCAGAAATCAACAAGTCGAGTCCGAGACGAGTCCAGTCGCTGAAAATAGCCATTTGAGTCGACTTGAGTTCGAGTCAATGACTCGGTTCATCACAACACTAGTCTTTAAATGTTCTTTGAATTCACTTGCAAATAATCAAATTTGTATTTCATAATGTTTTGTTTCACGGCGGCCTGTTTCATCATGGCTCACGCGAATTCACTACGCGAAAGGCTGGCATGTTCGTCCTGTGAATCCGCAATTCAACGTTAATGTAAGCGGAGAAAACACAGATTTTGTCTGGCATACAACTAACTTTGGCCCTACCGTTATAATGGTAAATATTTTCATCTGGAAAGGTAGTTACCGACTTGGCACGTGCTACCGACTTGGCACTTCTTAAAAGGTTAAAAGGAGTTTTAAATACAATAGAGCTATCCATTGGAATAATTTACCTATTGAAGCAAAACTCGGGACGAGTTGACGCTGACTCACCTTGATAAATGATTATTTTAAAATAGTTTAGTTTCAATGTATTTTTCTGTATTTGATAATCCTTCTGAGTAGTCCTTGTATTAATCTGTAATTCGTCTTAGCAATTTGTGATGAATAGCGTGGTGAATTCGCGTGCGCCATGATGAAACAGGCCGCCGTGAAACAAAACATTATGAAATACATATTTGATAATTTGCAAGTGAATTCAAAGAACATTCAAAGACTATTGTTGTGACGAACCGAGTCATTGACTCGGACTCAAGTCGACTCAAATGGCTATTTTTAGCGACTGGACTCGACTCGGACTCGACTTGTTGATTTCTGCCGTAAATGACTCGAGTTAACTCGGTTATAAGTAAAGTTTACTAGAAAGTTTACTTGAATAAATGCATTAATTGAAAGTTTACATCGCTGCTAATATTAAAAAGCTTTTTCAGTAAATTTTAAGCCGGTTTTCAAGACCACATATTCATGTTGTTGATTGACCGCGCTCTTCGCATGCGTGAAATATTGGGACTTGCTTTCAAGTTTGACTACAAATTTCCGGTTGAAGGCAGCGTTCCTATTACATTCATCAGCTTCGGTCGCTATTAGCATTTCGTAGTGTAGTAAATCTGACCCATTATTTACCAGAAGACTAGTAAATAATGCTTTTAATTTTCAAAAGGAATGATTTGGCAATTTTGTTTTCAAAATGGACAAAATATTCAAATATTCTTCCCCAGAACACGAAAGAAGCACACATGTTATATTTAACATCAAAGGTAGGATGCCTTATTCCGTTATTTTACTGTGTCAAACATATTCACGGACAATTTAAAACTTATTTAAAATTCCGAAACATTCACTTCAAACAAATAGCACAGACTATTAATTAAAACCAATTTGTTTTATATCCTATGGATATCTCATTTTGTACGATACTATTTTTTTATACGTAATGTTTTCATTGTGCTGCATGTGTCCTGACTCTGTGTTGTGTTTTCGAAGCTTGTAAAAAACTAAAGTGAAAAGGGTATTAAAACTTACTTCGAGGCATTCTGTTTTACATTCCATTTTACCAATTTCCTCAGTTATTTTCAGAACAAATTAATCCTAAACGGAAACTATTTTGTAATCTAAATCTGGTGAAAAAGTCATCCCATCATTGTATTTATATTCTAAGCAACAATCGAGAAAAACAACTTTGCAATAAAGCAATAAAGTCATACACAGGAAGCCATTGTGAAAACGTGCATTTGTGTACAAAAAACACACTTTTATTTCTGAATTTTAATCAAACTGATATTTGGGAGGGGGGGGGTCTCGTTACGAAATCACGAAGATCATTTTTCGATTTCACGAGTTACAAAAAACAAAATTTCATTTTCACAATTTTTAGAAGCACAGAAGCGTAGCAAAGTCTGAAACCATTTAACAGGTACTGACTTTAACATTGGAGCCGTTTAATGGACTATGGAAATCTTTGCGAGGCATTACGAAACATTACGAGCGTCGTACGATAGTTCGCGATGTTTACGAAGAGGTACGAAGGTATACGATAACGACGTTTGCCGATGAAGCGAAGAAACCTCAAGAAAGCAAATTTATTCATTTTTCCCCCATAATATTAAATTTTGGCCGAGTTTTAAACGTAAACATTCACAAGATAGGGTACCCTGGGTGCCAGAGGTTCTTCCACGCTCGTAGGGGGGATAATGAGGGATACACGAGGATTCAAGCTGGGAGGCGGCGAGCGGGAAAAACCTCTGGAACACTTCTATGGTTTCTCAGATCGAACTGCACCAATCGCGATGCTTAATAGTGTGAAGTGCATGATCCAGAATATGGATCACATGGTTAATTGGTTAACGGCAGGGACTTGTTAAAACAATGACTTTCATTGGCTATTTGAACCGTATGTCCTTCAAGATATTATCGTTCAGAATCCGTACAGGCATACGCTGTTGTTTAATATAATAATACTATCTGTAGTGAGTGTCAAGTGACACTCACTATCTGTAGTGAGTGTCAAGTGAAAGGTATCTTTAGTGAGTGTCAAGTGAATTAGACGTGTTGTTTGAACTCCGTTCAGAATTAAATTTTTAACACTAAGAATAAGACTAAACCGAAACTTATCATCATGACTACAAATAAGTTAACGTGTGACGGCGATATCTATCTTTGGAATGGCTCGTTGACTGAGTTAAAGTGTTTTGTTGAACAAATTTTAAAGCTTCAGGGGAAATGTAGTTCGCCTGGCGGGGATGTGAAGCTCTTCTGTGACAACGAATCCAAATTCAGTATCAAATGGTATGGTCAACGATCTCGAAAACTTATCATTCAAACAGATAGTGATGAACATTATTTAAAGTTGGAATTTCAAAAATTAGCCTGTACATACGAGGATAACAACCCAGACGCTGATGAAAATTTTGTTAACCTAATAACGGACATATCCGGTAAGAAAGATGTATATACAGCCGATGAGGAAAGCCAAGTTATATCGCTGGAGAGGTTAATGGAAGTTGAAGTTACCGACGTGAATAAACAGAATCATGAAACTGTGAGCTGTGTTGTTGACAGGAATGTGAAATGCATCGCTAAACCTGAGGTATGTGGCCATGTTTGTACATGCACTTGTAGCTGTGTTAACGCGGTTGTAAGCGCGGAATTAGAGGGTTTGAAGTTGGAAATGACAATCCTCGAATCCCGGTTGCTCAGCGTAACCTCTAAAAGCGATAATGAGTCTGAGATAAAATCGCTCCGAGTAAAATTAGGGAGTTTACGATGTACGACGCGGTCAGCTCGACGACGTCGAGCCAAATTATGCTTGAAATAAGCCACAGGAATTTAACTATACTGCTTTAATGGTCTAAAGCATGTTTTAATCATCTTACAAATGTTTAAATTGGCCTAAACTACTCCGATGTTTAGCTGATGTTGCCATTCGGTCAACGTTATAAAACAGCTTTCATGTCGCAACGAGCTTTGATATCGCTAGGAAGCCGTGAAAATTACTCGTTTGACGGTGTCCCAAGAATGGCAACGCTGTTGACAAAACATTTAAATCTACAAATTATTCATCCCTTTTGTCTCGCATGACGTGTTTCTTTGTCTTGCAAGCGCGTCGTCGAGCTGGCCGCGTCGTGAATCGTAAACTCTCTATTGAAAGATTTGGAAGCCGTAATTCGACATCAGGAGGAATTAATTCAGGTACTTAACGAAGACAATTCATTCTTCAAGTCTAAATTATCATCAATAGAAAACTTCATGCTTGAAGTAATTCATAATGTAAATCAAGAAAACAATGCTAATGATCAAGCCCAATTAACATGGAAACTCCATCTGCAGATAAAACAACAGCTCATTTGAATACTAATAATAAAACCCTAACGGAGAACAATGATCGCGGGTCAGCTAATAATGTAATTAATATTCCAGCCGAAATAACACCTTGTAATGGTGCACAATTGGAGAACTTGAACATAAACAATGAAAGTCCAAGTAACATTGAAATCTCATCTGCAGTTAAAACACCAGCTTGGATGAATGAAAACAATACAAGTTCAAGAACCAGTATAATTCCATCTCCCAAACAAACCCCCCGAGGCTATCGTATTAACACAAGTAAAAAGGAAACAGCATTAGTGCCGTACCCTTTCCTAAAAAGGAAAGGCCACTGTTTGAAAGGACCCAGATGTGACTTTTTGCATAAAAATGTTTTACCTGCAGTATGTGGACCGAAAATCTAACAAGGAAACCACCCTAAACCACAACATCATGATAAGTCCCGAATACCCTGTCCCTTTTTACGGAAGAATGGATTCTGTCTAAAGGATGATAGATGCGATATTTCCCATTATCCGGGTCCTGATAACATGCCTGCACCAATTTCCTTTAACCATTTTCCTTTTTTCCCCCATTCGAATTATTATTTTCCCCCCTTCCGTCATCCAATGCTTCATCCCTTGTTCCCGATGTCTCAGCACCCGTACCCACCACCTCTAATGTCTCAATGCTCGTACCCACTATCGTCAAGAGCCCCAAACCCACATCCAGACCCCCAAACCCATATCCAGAAACCAGAATCAAGAATTTGGATGCAGAGGTAGCAAAACAGATACCTGTCAGAACTACGGCATGTAAATTAAACTTGAAGCCCTGTCGTAATGTTGATGTTAACAAGCGAGATACTAAGAATACGAAACAATCTCGATATGTAAATTTTAATAATTTAATTTATGTCAATTGTACAAAGGAACAAAAGATTTATTTTATGCCTATCAACTTTTGTCTGTTAAACACCAGATCAATAAGTAGGAAAGAACTTTTTATTAATGACCATGTCTCTGAGAACGATATTGATATCCTGGCAATGACTGAGACATGGTTACGTGAGGATGATAACGAATTTTTTATTGCTGAAATCTGCCCAACAGGGTATCACTTTTACCACGTTACAAGGAAAAATGCACGAGGTGGAGGAGTTGGTCTCTTACTGAAGAAATATATTAAAGCCAAAAAACAATCTGGTCCGATGAAATGAATACATTGCCCGTCAAATCGTATATTGTTACCTCCGCCAGGAGGTTATGTAATCATCTGGGTTTGTATGTGTGTTTACCTCCGCCAGGAGGTTATGTAATCATCTGGGTTTTTACCTCCGCCAGGAGGTTATGTAATCATCTGGGTTTGTATGTGTGTGTGTGTGTGTGTGTATGTGTGTGTGTATGTGTGTGTGTGTGTATGTGTGTGTGTGTGTATGTGTGTGTGTTTGTCTGTGAGCACGATAACTCAAGAAATACCAAACATATTCATACGAAATTTTTTGAATGCATTTCCCATCGGCTAAGGAAGAACTGGTTAAAATTTGGTTGAATTTGGTTAAAAATTGAACGAGAAATGAACAAAATTTTGTCTTGCTTTTCCCGGTCAATTAACAAAAAATATTACTGAATGCGTAATTAGGACATGTATAATTTATGCACTCAGTGCTAAGACAATAATGAGATGATAAACCTCATTAAGCTTCGGCCTTCATTATCTATTGTCTTAGTTGCATTTCACGCGACCGAAATTCAATGTCTAAAACAAGGCTTACGGAGTTATGCATTATTACGTTCAGCAAAGTGCCATGCAGTCCATTCAAATTCTAACAACATTAGATTACTTCAATACAGGGTGTATAAAAAGAACGCAACCTCGGAATTTCCCAAGAAATCGACATTGTTTTAAAGACAAAAGATTTTAGCTGCCTGGGAATTTAAAATAAGCACAACTGTGAAAATTACTGCACGCGCGAGTGCATAAAGCAAAATTTATGCATTTATTTAATAACACTTAATAAGTTTTTATTTTACAAGTACTGTACAGCACAACAACAGTAATATGTTCTATTAGCAATTCGATTTCAATTCGCGGGGGCCTGAAATCTTTTATGCTTAAGAATTGTAAAGTGGATTTCTTAGGAAATTCCAAGGTTGCCTTTCACTTCCGAGTAACGGGCGGAGGTATGCAGTCTCTGAGTGCCCTCTAGTTTACACTGTTTTTATTCGATCTATAAATTGAAATACAACTACAAATTACTTCTAATTCTACACTATACATACTCTAATACACAAATATGAACTTACTTCTTGGCGGGTTAACACATTTTAATCTACATTTGCTTCGTATGTTTTCCTAAGCACACGCCTTGTCTTCATGTTGTTTTCGACTCGTGAAACATGCAAACTGTCAATCATATCCACTGTCTATTATTAACTAATTAACTTAGATATTAATATTACTTATTTTATCTAACGTCAACAAAATATCAATACACTCTCCGCCCCGATGAGAATGTAGTTCTCATGCTACTAAATAGCATAGCTAGTTCTAGTTCTCTTTGTAACCTTCTTCTGGATAAATAACAGCAATTCTACTTACAGGTCTCTCATATTCTCCAGAACATGTCTTCACTCTGATGTTTCGAACCTTACTGTCTTTACCAGGAAACACGTTTATAACTTTGCCAATTGACCAGCTTCCTCGCACTGCATTCGGGTTTTCAATCACTACAACATCGACGACACGAACGTTTCTTCTATCTGCATTCCACTTTTTACGGGGAACTAACGCTGGAAAAACATCTCTTTGCCAATGTTTCCAAAAATCATCTATTATTCTCTGAACAAACTCAACACGTTTACGTGGATCTCGAGTCTCCTTGAACGGTCCTTGTGGTACTTTCGACGACGCACGTCCAAGCAGAATATCATTAGGACAAATGTACGAACCTTCGTTTGGATCAGTTGTAACGCGGCCAATTGGTCGTTGGTTTATCAGGTTTGCGATCTCTAATAAACAGGTGTAAAGTTCAAACGATGTTAGCTTCTGTTCTCCAACTGCCTTCTTTAGTGCTCGTTTACAACTTTTAACCATAGACTCTGCACAACCATTCTGGTGTGGTGCTGTAGGTGTAATAAATTGCCATTTAATTCCTTTTTCTGCTGCAAACTCCCTTAACTTCTCTTTATCCCATCCTGCGATCATCTCCCTTAATTCTCTTTCATCCCCTACTAACTGTGTCCCATTGTCACTTAGAATCAACGCTGGTCTTCCACGAATTGCAAAAAATCGACGCAAGACTTGTATAAATTCTATAGCTGAATAGTCAACTGCTAGTTCTAAGTGAACAGCTCTTGTGTTCAAACAAGTAAATACGACACCGTAATGCTTCGTACTTTTGTTTCGTCCAACCTTGACGTGATAAGGACCAAAATAATCACATGCGCTATTGTGAAATGGTGGAGTATATGGTACAAGACGAATTCCAGGAAGGTCTGCCATTTTCTGGGTTTCACACTTCGCTTGCATTTTCTTGCAGAACACGCATTCGTACTTGACTGATTTAGCAAGGTTATGGGCTCGGAGTATCCAATATTTTCGTCGAATCTTTGCTACAGTGGCGGCTACTCCAGAGTGTCCATATTGGTGGGCTTGACGAGTAATCAGTTTAGATGTCCAGTGATCCCTAGACAATAACACTGGATGTCTGGTATCGTAAGTCGCAATGGTTTTATCAACTCTACCTCCAACTCTGACAACATCTTTCGAGTCGGTAATCGGATCCAGCTTTTGCAATTGTCCCTTCGCAAGACTGTTTTGCAGGTTTTTCTGGTTTTGCTTTATCCAATAGGTTTCTGACTCTTCTAGCTCTTGTACGGACAAACAACTACTTCTTTGGTTATCTGGGTTTTCTGCTTTTCCTTTTTTCACACGAGCTTTCAAATTCCAGTAGAATCTGAAGACATACGCTGTTACTCGCACCAGTCGTCTCCTGTTCGAAAATCTCGTACAATCGATCGGGGAAGCCATAGTTTCCTTCACTGTACACACTTTCTGACTCTTTCGAATTTCCTGTTCAACTTCACCGTTC